CCACGAGTGCATTTATGTGACGGGGTTCAAGACGTGTTTTAGATGACGTTGAATTTTTCTTAAAAAATTAAATAAAGAAAAGCGGTTTAAGTTAAAATTTGCACATAGGTTTAAACATGTACTAAAATCAGATAATAGGCCCATTATAACAGTTGAGCGACCGTGCTAGAATCACGGAACTCGGGAATGCCTAACACCTTCTCCAGGGTTAACAGAATTCCTTACCCGTATTTTTATGTTCGCAGACTGTAATACAGAGTCAATTTTTTCCTCGATTCGGGATTTGAACCGGTGACTTGGGACACCATTAATTATCCCAAGTGGAGACTCTGAATTTTAATTAAAATAATCCCGTTTCGATTGTCACTTAAATTGAAAAAAAACTCCCTTTATTATACCCTCCCCGGGGTGTAGGTGAAAAAGGAGGTGTGACAATACTAATCCAAAAATACCGAGTATTTTAGCTTGAGCCGTATTTTATCCCAAAATACCAAATTTCAACGAAATTCATTCTCTTCGACTTGCTTCCCCTCTCACATTCACGAATTTATTCATCACTTATAATCCTTATAATCTCCAAATAATCTTTTCCTTGGACTGATGCCAATTACCTTATGACAAATTCAATATACAATAATGCAGGGTGCAACATTGTCGTAACTTATTATTGCGAAGCGTAACATCACCGTAATGTAATACTGCCGGGTAGAACACTGTCGTAACTTAATACTGCTGGACGTAATATCATCGTAATATATTATTGCAGAGAGTAACATTGTCATAATATAATACTGCGGGACGTAATATTGACGTAATATTGCGGGGTGTAACAATTCAAATGGAAGAAATGATCTTCATATGACTCCAAAAGAATAATTCTTTTATTTAATGTTTTTTCTTCTCATATAAATATTGGTTATGGACTTTGAATCTGGAAGGAGAATTGAAGAGGTAGAGAAATTTTGGGGTGCAAAGTCGTGATACAGGAAGAAGAAAAATGAAGGAAAAAAAATAATTAAATAGGGTGGACTAACTGGTAAAAAGTAATTTTCAGATTATGTACGACATGGACCATATTAGGTAAGGGCTTCAATCGTGGGTTCTGATGGGCTATTGGGCCAAGTGACAAAGAGCGTAATTCCCCCTTAAATGGGGTGGGCTAACCGGTAAAAGGTAATTGAGAAAATGACCCTCTATAGCCTCTCAAAATTTTAATAGCCCATATTCTTTTCCATTGACCCGAAATGTCTATTTTGTATATGTTTTGTATAGTGACAGTCTATTTTGTATATATTTTGTATAGTGACGGTCTATTTAGTATTTTTTTTGTATAGTGACAATCTATTGTATTACCCCTTCGGGGTAGGGGTAAGGTCTGCGTACATATTACCCTCCCCAGACCCCACTTGTGGGATTATACTGGGTCGTTGTTGTTGTTGTTGTTGTACAGTCTATTGTATATAAATTACACAGTTACAACTTATTTTGTATAATTTTTGTTGATAGTCTATTGTATATAAATTGTATAATGACAGTCTATTTAGTATATATTTTGTATAGTGACAATCTATTTTGTATATATTTTGTATAGTAACAGTCTATTTAGTATATTTTTTGTATAATGACAGTCTATTTTGTATAGTGATAGTTTATTATATATAAATTGTACTGAGACAGTCTATTTTATATATTTTTATACAGTGACAATCAATTTTGTATATATTTTACGGAAAAGGGCCTAAAATGCCCCTGAACTATCCGTTTTGGTACAATAATGCCCTCCATCCACCTATTGGGCCAAATATGCCCTTTCGGTAATGGTTTTGGCTCACAAATGCCCTTTGAGTTAACGGAGGGACACGTGTCATCCTCCTGTTGGCCCATTCTAAATATTTCTTAATTAATTAAAAAGACCCATTATTCATACTCGAAAAATAATTTTCTAAAGCAATTTTTCTAAAACTTTTTTTTACTAAAAACTGAAGAAAAAAAAGGAATTTTTTTTCCAGTTTTTACAAAAAATAGATTTTTTTACTAAAATAATCAGTAGATGTAAAAAAGTAGATGTTTTTTGCTAAAATCAAAATAAAAAAAAATCCAGTTTTTTGCAAAGTTGGATTTTTTTTGGAAGCCATAACGTGAAAATATTGAACCAAAAGAACAAACATTATAGGATCGTTTTCTGCTGTTGTGGAAGCTTGTAATCTGTGTATATAAATGGTTGACATAGGACCAATGCACATCAAAAAACATGGATTTTTTTCCAGTTTTTTAAAGAAATATTTTTCTAAAAAGTGGATTTTTTATTTATTTTTGTTTCTAGCAAAAAATATCTACTTTTTTTTCCAGTTTTTTCAAAAATATTGCTTTAGAAAATTGCTTTTTAGATTTTATTTTTGTTTTTACAAAAACATTATTTTAGTAAAAAAATCTATTTTTTTGTAAAAACTGGAAAAAAAATCCTTTTTTTTCTTCAATTTTTAGTAAAAAAAAGTTTTAGAAAAATTGCTTTAGAAAATTATTTTTCGGGTATGAATATTGGGTCTTTTTAATTAATTAAGAAATATTTAGAATGGACCAACAGGAGGATGACACGTGTCCTCCGTTAACTCAAAGGGCATTTGTGAGCCAAAAACATTAACGGAAGGGCATATTTGGCCCAATAGGTGGATGGAGGGCATTATTGTACAAAAACGGATAGTTTAGGGGCATTTTAGGCCCTTTTCCGTATATTTTATATAGTAATAGTTTATTGTATATAGATTATATAGTGACAGTCTATTTAGTATATTTTTTGTATACTGACAATCTATTTTGTATAACGAAGACCGTGCATTTTTCAAATTAATGTTGCAACCATGTTTTGCACACGTTGCATCACAGACTTCAACAAATTTAATGTATGTTATTTTCATACTCTACTCCTCTATTTAGGGCATTTCTCGAAAGAAAATGACACCAAACGCCACACTTGCATTTTAGCGATTGACAATTTTTTTTTTTTTTTTTTTTTTTTTTTTTTTTTACATTAGGGTTTTTGCCATGCAAAGAAATGCTTTTATATATATATATAAGCATTTCTTTGGAAAGAGGGCAGGCTCGTGATAGTGAAGGGTAAATTTCACAAATGATCATATAATGGCTAAGACTGCCAATGAGGAAGATTTATAGGTCCTTTGATTTTTTTATGTTAGGTGCATCAAAATAGTAATTTCTCATTGCAAATTTATCTTAACTATTTTTTGAAATGCTTTCATTCGTTTTTATCTAAATTCAACTAATTGTATTTCAAAAAATTAGGCAATTGTTAGTGATGGTTAGTGAAGACTAGTGAAGGAGGGACAACGGGGCGCTTAAAACTATTTGTTGGCTAGCATATGTTATTTGTTTTTGGCTACAAATTGTATTGCAAAACTATGGGATATAATGATATATGTTTTGGCCGATCGACCAATTATGTCAGAAGCTCTAGTTTTCAGATTATGTACAACCTGGACCATATCAGGTAAGGATTTCAAACGTGAGACATTTGACCAAAAAATTATACGGGCGCCCTATTTGGTCGCCCCCATTTAACCTATACCTATTTTTAAAAAATATTTTAACTAGTACCCCCTTTTTAAACAACTTCAACCCTCTTTTCCTCCTCCTTGTTTTCTTTTCTTCTTCTTCTTCTTCTTCTTCTTCTTCTTCTTCTTCTTCTTCTTCTTCTTCTTCTTCTTCTTCTTCTTTCTTCTGCTGTTGTCTTCTGCTGTTGTTGGTGCTGCTATGAAACTTCAGTTCATAGGGATGAACTTTCTACTGCTGTTGGTGCTGCTATGTCCAGTAATTACAATACTGTCAACGTTCAACAATACTGTTGTTTATGATTTTTTAACTCAAAAGTTCTTGTCTCTATCTACCTATAATACAACCGATAGGCATAATACCATTGAAATGGCTTGCTCTCGAATAGTGACCAAAGATTGGAGTCTTTGGGTGGAAAATATTAGTGTTTATACGTAATTTTTGTCTTCATCTATAACAGGTTATCATTCTTTATAATCTGCCTTTTTTTTTTTTTTTTTTTTTTTTTTTTTTTTTTTTTTTTTTTTTTTTTTTTTTGCATATTGAACCAAACTATTGATATTCTTGTGAATGTATTGCCTTATTGTAAGAGCTCCTAAGAATGCTGAAGTTCAGTAAATATAAACAAAAACTTCAACTCCTAAAATGCTAAAGTTTAGCAGATACAAAATAAACTTTAGCCATGAAGTTCATCACAAATATAACGAAGTTTCAGCTAAAACATGCTGAAGTTCAGCAAATATAGAACAAAACTTCAGCTAAAACATGCTGAAGTTCAGCAAATACAGAACAAAATTTCATCTATTAGAATGCGTAAGTTCAACAATTACAAACAAAAACTTCAGCCAACACATGAACTAAAGTTTGCCATTTGCACTATGAACAGAAGTTTGCGTGATTGCCTTTGCAAGTCAGGCAAAACTTTATGCAAAAATATCTGAAGTTTTGCTACACTTCAGGCAAAATTTTTTGCTACTTCATGCCCGTATGTCTGAATTTACGCGAAAAGTGGGTACGCTTATAATTTTTTCTGCAAAGCGGGTATAAGTTAAAACGTAAGCCAAAAAGCGAGTATAAATGCAAATGCCCCATTTTTTGATGTATTGTTGGGCCAAGTGATAAGTAGCGTAATTCCCCCATTATAAATCCCATATTCCAAATAGGCTTAACCTAATAACGTATGGTGTATATAAAAACTATAAATTAGAACTGTATAAAATAAAACGATTATATAAAGATTTGTAATGTCAAATTCAACAAATTTGAAATTGAGAAAGAGGGAGTATGTTTTATGTTTATATTTTCTAATATTCTGTTAAAAAAATTATTTGATATTTTCTTAATATTTAGACAAAGTTGACTGAACAATTATTTATACGAACAAAAATTGAAAGCTCCCGATTTAATAGTTTTGATAAATAAACTTTGCTAGTTTGCTTTTTTCTTTTCCACTCTGCTCTGTCTTGAGACCAAAGAAAAGTCCTTTATTTAGTCGGCTCACTACACAGCTCCAAATTGAACTCAACTGAATCAGTAGAAGCTCTAGTAGAGAAGAAAAGAAGGGAGAAATGGCCAGCATAGGAACAGGTTATGACTTATCGGTGACGACATTCTCGCCGGACGGCAGAGTATTTCAGATCGAATACGCCGGCAAAGCTGTCGATAACAGCGGCACTGTTGTCGGCATCAAATGCAAGGACGGAATCGTCTTGGTTTGCTCCTTAAAATTACCTTCCTTTTTATCCATTCCAATTTTCTTGTTTTTTCTTGTCTGTATTAAAGTTAGGGTTTTTCTTATACGAATTGTATCATAGGGAGTGGAGAAGCTAATAGCATCCAAGATGATGTTGCCTGGATCAAATCGGAGAATTCACTCTGTTCATCGCCATTCCGGCATGGTATGTTAAGCATTGATTTTAAATATTTTGAATTGAAGGAGCATTATTTTATGGTTGACAATAGTTGTTCTGATTAGTTATCTCAAATATTTAACTAAAAATACGAGAGCTCTACTATATGTGTGTCTTACTAGGAATCAGGGTTTGAGAAAGCTTTTTTTATTATCAACTTTAGTGATCTTTCTGTTCAGTGGGACGGGTTCGTATAAGTAAATTTCGAGCCTCAGCATAAGAAATTTTGGAGCTTTAAAGTAACTGAGGTTAAAGAAAATATCATTGATGTATATAGTGAAAGTGTGTGCGTTGAAGCTTCAGCATCAGAAATTTTGGTGCTTTAAAGTTACTGAGGTTACTGAAGCAGTCAAAATAAACTATGGTGAATTAGAGAGCTTTGAGTTAGGGGGAGTTGAGAGGTAAATAAATAGAGAAACTTTAAAATGGTTCTGTTGTTTTCTTTTTTCTTCCGAGGTCTTAACTCTTACCACTATTTGAAAGCACAACACGAAGTAAAATTGCTTCAACTTTATGGAAAGTCAATCCCTTCACCCTAGTCTAGAAGTAGCTTCACCATTGAAAGACATTATCGTAATTGTGATTCTTAGTTAAGTTAAGTTTTTGTCATTACTAAGGTTGTCTGTGGTAGCTGTAACATGTATTTGGATGGAGTGGTAGACTTGTGTGAGCCTTGTATAAAAGCTAGCTATAGCCTGAGGTTATAGAAGTTTGGTATCTTTCCTAGATGTTCTTTATCATCTCTCATAAACAAAACAAGAATGACAGAGATGTGGCATAATTGAGCATGATTATAGGCAGGAGAGTTCCTGTGGCTCCTGAAGTCTGTCATCGTGTTTGTTTAAGGTGCTTCTGATTAGCATCTAGATACTTTGATCTCCAGTGATGCTTTGATTATTTTTGGGGGGTTGAAGTGATACCTTTAGGCCTATCTTTATCCCTCTTCTTCCTTATGGTGAGTCTTTTATAATTCCTAAAATCCTTTCTGGGTTGAGGTACATAAATCATTGTCAAAGTTCAGGTTTAAATCCCATTTGAGGCAAATTGATACTAGGTGGTTTCTTCCCACCTCTCTAAACCTTGATAGACGGAGTTACGCAATACCTGTGCTAGTTGGAAGTAGCAGGTACCCAATGGATTAGTCGAGGTGTGAGAGAGCT